ATTTGGTCAAAAGTTGTCATTGAATCGGTCCTACGGCTTAGAATTATACTTAAAAATACTCGTTTTACTATTTTCAAAATTTTTTATTTGCTAAGTGAGCCTTCTACAGGCGCTCTCAATTCGATAATTCCAAATTTTTGCAGTATTTTGTTCTGTTATATTATATTATATATATAGGAAGCTAACTCCGATTACGGCATAGTGCCACAAATAATTCAGTTTCTTGTTTTTGGCCCACCAAACTTATATGCTTTCAATATCCGATCTCTGCGCAACGTTCCGAACCCTCTATTGGATATTTTTGTTGACACGAACTATTTAAGAGGCCTTGAGCATTCGGCATTTCGTTGATCAAAACGAAATTGAGTTCAGTTTCTCAAAAATAATCACCAGAATATGTATCTGATTCGATTGGCATGTGCGAGGCATGGATTTTGAAGCCTACAATATGATCGGTGTTGTTATAATTCTCAAAGACTCTCAAAAATAAAATTATTTAGTTGTTTCTGCTCAAAATTCGATAGCGATAGGAGCAGTGTGGCATTTGAAGTGCTTAGGTATCGATTACAAAAAGTCAGTTACTTATCAAACTGCCCTCGTACATGCATATTGGAACACATACACTCCTACATATATATGTACACACATATATAAAATTCATTAGTCCGTCTGGGTGTGGTCTACGTTGACAGTAGCAGATGTTGCAGATGTCGGGCAAGAAATTAAATCTCTAGAACTGTACTCGTATAAACTAGCCCAGAAGAATTCCCGTATGTAAAATAGAAGCAGTATAAAACTTGAATAGTTAATAAAGTCAATTTGAGTTGTTCGTTTCATAAACGAAGCATACAACCGATCACTAAAAATGCTATATTCCTTCCATAGCAAAAAAAAAAAACCAGCTAAAAAGTATATATGTATATATAATATATATTTTTAATTTTCTGCGAGATGCATATTGAAGTATATAAAATACATATGTAAAAAATCCACATAGAATTTGTTAAGCATTTCCGCATTTCGGTTCCGGCAAAACTTCCATTAAATTTAATGTCAGAGGTATAAAATTGCCGCTTTGAAGATGTTGCAAAAATGAAGGCTTCGTTACACGCATATGTATTCACTTACATATATACAAGTGCGTATATATGTACTATTTTATATAATATTTACACAATCATACTTTCGATTCGCCACGAAGTTCCAACTTCAAGAGTTACTACTTCTTTTCAAGCACCTCAGCCAACTAACATGCAGAGCTCATAGCTCGTGTCCATCCTTTGTCCCAATATGATTTTCAACTCAAACTTAGTGTAATTGTTTTCAAATTACACTAACATAATAGCCTGCTTTGCACTTGGCACAATTGGCTACCATATGTGTTAACAGTAAAGGCTCTTTTAAAGTTGAGAGATTCCTCACACTTATGGAAACAGCGTGTAGTCCGCTAGTCTGTTGAACAATTCATGCAGTTATTCAACAATTAAAATAGAAGAATTATTTTTAAACCAGAAAATACCCGAAGGTCATGGAGCATATGTAGGCAGTTTACCCAGAGAAGTTTGCCAAATATTGTGATGAGAGAGGGACAAGCCATTCTCCGTAATAAGAAGAGGAAGGCTTTGCTCCTACCCAGGCAAATAAAACATTTTGAATCGGAAGTCCTATGCGAACACTAATTATAATAGTAATATTGAGTAAATTAACAGAGAATCACCGCCCTCTTTTAAAAAGATAGTGGCATGTTGTTGTGGTTTTTACTTTTAATGTATTTATGTATACTCGCATATTCTAAAATATATATATATACATATATGTACATATATTGTATGCTAAGGCTCCGCGGTGTAGCAAAAATCCACAATGAGACTCTTCCATTTATTTCGATCTTGTACTAGCCTCTTGATTTCGCTTGAACTTTTTTACCTTACCCTTAGATTTTTCGAGTTCCAAATTTATTATCCAGGTTAGAGCGGGTCGGGCTTTCCGTCGGTTTCCGTAGGGCTTCCAGTCGATGGCGTTCCTGGTGACTTTTCCTGCATCTCGTCCCAAAACATGCTCGAAACAGTCCTCTTTTCTTTTGAGATTTTTGGCCTACAGCGGTGTTTGATTTGTGCGTGACCATAAGTCCGTGTCAGAGAGGAGAAAGAAATATAAATATAAATCAATGGAATAATTCTACAAGTATAAACCGTCTCTTGAAAAAAAGCCTTTTTAACTCTAGGCTCAAGGGATATAGAATATATATTTTTTATTACATCTTTAAAATAAATTTTCGGTACTTAGTATATTATTTTGACCTGAGTAAACCTAAACAGGTACTTATACACCGCTATGTTCATACCGCAAAGAGAGCGAGCCTACTTATATAGCCGGAGGGGAATAATAGTATATGCCTCAGCACTTTCATGATGCTCCCATCTTCTCTCAACAAGTTGGCTGCAAAGAGCTGCGTAGTTCATTAGATGCGAAACAATCAAGAAAGTCTACGTTCTCTCGGTATTTTTTTCATCGCCCATTCAGCTCAGTTGTAAAGTGTTTAGAGTCAGTGTCGTCCTACTTTTTTTTTTGAAATAAAAATGGGGTTTAGCATTGCAGAATCAGTTTGGTCGTAAAGCTTTGTTTTCAACTGATTAAATCTCGAGCCAACGGGTATAAGTCCAATATGACTAGTTCCATATTTTTATTCCATTTTGTTTTTTTTTTTCTAAGTTTGAAGCATTAATGATGACTAAATATGCGTTCGATCTGTGTATATTACTTTGCTAAAAACTCTGTCAAATAAGCTGACCTTCTATCTTCTAGTCTAAGCAGTCCTAAGTCCTCGCTGCTGAGTTCATTGCAACCAATTTCTAGGAAATCGAACAGCTGTTTTTAATTTTCAGCGGCAAAACGAGAAGAGAGTATAGTATTCTATAGAGTACATAGAAGCCAGAGAGCAAAAGTTAAGCTACGAAATTCGAGTTTGAGGAGTCGTTAGTCTAGCAGCAGCCGCACTTAACCCATCAAGAAAGTAGTGCAGCAGCGCAATGAAATTTGATCTAAACTAAAATATGGGCATGTCCAATTTATTCTTGTTGTTTTTTCAGTTCGTAATATGGAAAAGTGAAGGGGGGCGAACTAGTTGTCAAGACGAAACCAATTGATTACACTGTGGGTTACTAGAAGAAAAGTATATAGTATATGTATGTCTGTAAGTATTTTTGTATGCTACTTCTCTTGGTGAACATACTTAGAGATATATTTAAATGTATGTCTATGAAATTAAAAATGTAAATGCGGTTTATAATTTCACATAAGTTTTTAGACTTTGAAATGTATGTATATACATAAATATATATGTATATGAACTAGTAAATCATTGAAGATGCCTGCTGTAGGAAGACGGTTTCCAGAGAATAATTTATATATATTTATAAATATATTTTGTGCACTTGTCTGTATGTATGCTTTTTTTTTTTGGTATGGGAATATAAGGCTGCGTCTGTCAATACACACATACATGTATACAATAATTTTTTATATTATACTATATGTAGAGTAGCACTTGTGAAGTGACATCAAGTCCATTATTGACTCGTAAGGAGCGCTCATCATTGCTTTACATTGAACATTCTTCAGTCTTCATTACATTTTCCACATGAAATAAAATTGTAAGCTACTGTCTTCTCTGCCATTGGCTTGTCCTGACATCGTCTCAGAGTTCATGGGAACTATTTTACATGATTTTGTTATTTGGCAGTGCCAGACATTTTTTATGAAGAGTTTAAATTTGAAAATATGTATTTAGAGCGCCGCTCAGCCGTTCAATTTAATTCAACATTAATGAAGAGAACTCATTCTGGGGAGAATTCGCACCTGTGATAACAGAGTTGCATGGGAAACCGATGAAAAGTATACATTTTTTTAAATTTCAAATGCAATAAATATTCTTTAATAAAAAATTAATAAATTATTCTTTAAATAAAAAAAATTTGAAATGAAATAAAATTCAATAAAAAATGTAAGATAAGCGATATTTCGCGTCTATTTTAAAAAATTATTATTTTTCAAATATGTTATTTTATTTAAATTATTATTTTTCAATTATTATTATTTATTAATAAAAAATTGTGTTGCTTTAAATATAATAATTAAAAGAAATAAAAGAATTGTTAAGGCAAAAAATTTATTAAAATGGGGAAAAAAAATTTGCATATCTTGCAAAATTGTGAAAAAATTATTAAAAATATAATTTGGAATATTTTTATATTTTAAAGAAAATTAAACAAAAATATTTGTTTATGAAAATTAAACATTTTCTGTCATAAAAAAAAAATAATTTCTTAAAATTAACAGTATTATACTTTAAGTATGAAAACTGAAAAAAATGTAATCAAATATGCAAAATAACTGCTACTTCACCTCTATTTAAAAAAAAATATAAAAAAATTCTTTTAAAATTATGAAAGCTCACAACGTCTTGGTTCCATTAATTTTCAAAAACAAAATGTCTTTTTGTGCAAAAAAAAAATTAAAACAATTTAAAAAAATTTAAAAAGAAAAAAATTAAGTGTGACATACTTATAAATCTTGTATAAAAATTAATTTTATAAAACAAATTGTGTGAAAATTAAATAAAAAATAACAAATTTTAATTACAATACATTCTAAAAAAAATTTTATATTTCAATTATTATGAAAACAAAATTAATAAATGAAAATTGTATCAATATATATATCCTTTTTTTAACGAAAATTAAGATTTTATTATTTATTATTTTTAATAATAGTATTATTTCTATTATAAATACTATAAATAAAACCAATAATAATTTTCAAAATAAAAAAAAAATTTTAAGTGAAAAATATTTAAAAAAAAAATTGTTTATGGTAATTAAATAAAAATAAAAAGCCGGCGTGTTTCCGTCTGGTTGTTACACACTTGGTGGCAAACTTACTATAACCTGTACAGGGTATAAATATAATAAAATTTAATAAAAAAAAATGCATGAAAATTCTTTCTTATGTATATCTTTATTTTCATTTCGTTCAATCCCTACATACATATGTATATAAACTATACAATAAATTCTTAAAAAATTCCATACTCGAAGTAGTACAAAAATATTTATATTTACTTTACATAAAAGCCGTTATAGGTATGACCGTTGGTACTTTTATCAGCTACAAACTTATATAGACACTTAATATCTAATGGAAAGTTCAAATTTTTTAGCCCAACGACTGCGAATACTATAGCAATATACATATACATACATACATATACTTAATATTTAATACGCCACAAGTTCACTTATGCACTAAAGGATCCGTGTGTAGAAAACCAAAACTCAGTTGAAAATTCCAACAAATTCCTTGCGTAATGTCAAAAACAAACAATAAGTGAAAATCCATTTTTGTTCTACGTTTTATTTTGCGTGTCACCTTCCATACGCCAAACGCCAAATAAGTAACTGAGTTTTTCCGGTGGTATCACTGAGGCGCCAGTGGCGCGCCGCAAGCCTTTTAATTCAGTCTCGGTGCCATTGGTGGCCGCATTCAAGATCGACGCAGTGCCCAGCGGCAGCCCATTGTTGGCCAGTATACTCTTGCTGTCCATCGTTTTGAGCAGACTGATCTCACTAGTGGAGAGCACGCGACACAGAAAATCAATATATCTGCAATGGAAATAAATCAAGCAATAAATCAAAAAAATATTATTAATTTACACGAACGCACGCATGCGCTGCATGTTTTTCAGGTAGGTAAGTGGGGAAAATATTCAATATTCTGGAAAAAGCCGGCGGTTATGCGATGGCGGGAATGTCCCTCGTTTGGGTTTTACTACCGTCGGCGTATTTTCCGCACGGCGATTTGGTAAAACTGAGGTTTTTGGTCAGTACTTACATACAAACATACATACATATGTGATTACTCCTATATCATATATGTGTATGCATAGTGCGAGGCATATGAGTTTGTACCTATGTTATAGTGGACTATTATATACTGTAAAAATTTAAAAACACTGCTTCAGAAAAAAATATGTATATGTTGCTGTATATATGTGAGTCCTTTTTTGTGAAAAATTATGCCAAAAATTCTAATTCATTAGAAAAAATATTTCTCATTTAAAAAATGTCAAATAATAATTGTTAAAGAAAGTGTTATTTAATTAAATTAAATTTGATTAAACTCAAATGATACTTAAATTAATTTAAACTCCCAAAATCTAAATTTTTTATAATTAAATTAGGAAAAATATTAAATATATGAACCACTTCATATCAGCAAATTTTAACTGAAAGTACTTTAAATTTATCGAAAACATAAAGAATTATATATACTTTTTGAATGTTGAATGTTAGAAATAAAATTGTCTCGTTATAATAATATGTTTTTTAGTCAAAATTTATGTAAATATGCATTTTTTTGTTTTAAAACTAATATTTTATTATTAAAATTTTTTTTCAAGAACAACTTATTTTTATTTTTGAAACCAAAACATAACAGCGGTTTTTACCACAAATTGACTAAGCTGAAAATGTTCACGATTTTCATTTGGTAAAATTTTTGAAATTTCAATTTGTTTTCAAAAAAAATTTATTTGTATTTTTGATAACAAAAAATATTAGCGAATTTTATCAGAGATGAACTTTCTTTTAGCCGTAAATGCCCAAGATTTTCAAGTAAATAATAATATTTATAATTTGACATATTCGAATTTATTTGGAAGTAAGCGTTAATCTATAATTCTTATAACTGAAAAATGTTGTACGAAATTGAAAATAATAACACTTGGAAAATTAAAAAAAATTTACAAAATTGAAAATAATCACATTTAGAAACGTAAAAAAAAATTTACGAACTGGAACAAAAAAGAAATCATTTGAAACACAAACACTTAAGTGTTAAAATCGACTGAATTTATACCGTGGTAGAAAGCTTTCTTGTTATTAGCTACCAATCCGATATCGAAAACGTTTTCAGAAAGAATTTATAATTTTTTTTTTTGTTTTTTCAAAATAATAAATAATAATTTTATCTTACCTAAATTCTATTAATTTTTGAACAATCTTTTTTGAAAACAATGCTTGTATTAAATTTTTCATAGGCAAAAGTTTCATTTTTAGAAAAAAAAATATAAATATGTAAATAAAAATTTACTAAATTTTTGGAAAATATAGTAATTAGTTAATTTAAAATTTATTTTCAGAAAAAAAAATTGATTAAAATTTAGGAAATTTATTGAAAATACAAAAAATAATTAATTAAAATTAAAAGCAAATAAATTTCAATTGCTAAGAATTGGTAAAAATATAAAATTTGTGCATAATTTATTTTATAAAAATAAACTTTAAGGCTGCGTAGACATTTTTTAGTCAATCCAGTATAAGTAGTAGACCTCAGATTATTTAAATTTTCATGAAAATTTGTCGATAGGCTATTAAAGGTTCAACATTTATTATTTAAATTAACAGCTACAAATTTATCAACTAAAATAAAAATAACTAAAAATTTACAACGAAACAAAATTTTCGCTCAAAAAATTACTCAACTTTTATTTTTATTTGGCAAATTGAAATAAAGAAAATTTCCAAATTTCAAACAAATTTCTAATATATACCTATATTTTTTTTAAAGGAAATCCCCATTTTTAATAATTATTAAAAAAAGTCATATTTGAATCATGATTAAGTGCTTAGAACCACATTATTTAGGTCACCTTCTCACTACGTCTTTTTTTTTGTTAGAGACTGGCAACATTCGGAATAATAAATATAAGCAAATTACTTAAGTTTGATAGAGTTTAAATACTTTTTAAGTGTCTGTGTTGCTTTGGCAACATTTTCTTGTAAGAAGTTATGTTGAATAAAGAGAATTTTGGAAAATGACAAAATAAAGCGAAATTAGAATAAAATAGCAAATAAGTATGAGAAAATGTGGCGCATTGTTAAACAAATTTTGTCAAATCAATGCGAGTACTTTTCTAGTTGCGAAATTACACATACTTATAAAAAAAATTCTTACTAATGTCTGTTCAGTCCACTATGCCATTTTTTAATTTTTCCTCATGATCAATGCAAGTTCTGCACAACTGCTATAGTTGTTTTTTTACTGTGTAATTACTTGAATTATTTTTAAAATTTGTTCCAATAAATGTTCACATATTTTTCAATAAAAAATGTACATTGACCTTAACAAAATTTCACAAACTGTCAAAAATCTTTGCAAATCATACTCAAACCCATGTGAACATATAAATCATATTCAATTTTCATGTAATATTTGTCTGCCTTTCTCTTTCACAAACACTTTTTAATCATTACAAGGACACCAAGTAAACCTGGCATTATACACACAATAAACTTTTCCCTCTACCTCAAAAGCCACACCCACTTCAGTCCACTCCACTCACCTGGTCGCCAGCTTCAACGTTTGTATTTTACTCAGCTTATCGCTGGGCAGTGTCGGTATGATCTGCTGCAGCGCCTTGAACGCGTCATTCAGACTCTGCGTGCGCTGGCGCTCGCGCACATTGGCCATAACGCGTTGATTGTGAAACTCATCGGCATCCTCGCAACGGCTCGATTTTCGACGCGTACGTCGTCGCGGTTTGCGGAAATGTTTTGTTACGGCGTCTGCATTGTCGGACAACGAGTCCGTGCGTATGTCTAACAAATCATCATTGGTGTAATCATAGCTGGCATCGCAATTTTCATGATTATCACCATTTATGCGCATAAATTCCAAATCATCGCCTTCGGAGTTGTTGCTCTTCATCGAGTGCGTAAAGTCATAGTGTGTTGTGAGATTTTTGCCAATATTCGGCGCCTGCGCGTGGATTTGTGTTAGTGCCGGCGCGTCGTGTGTGAGCGCATGCCCTAAATCCTTGCCGATTTCAGGTTTTAAACTGAAAATACCGTTAGTTGGTGGCACGTTGTGCGGCGGTGTTGTTGTTGATGGAGCTAACGCGTGTTGCAACGGTTGTTGCTGTAGTGATTGGTGTGTTGATTGCTGCTGGTGATGTTGTTGTTGTGGTTGTGATTGCTGTTGTTGTTGTCCATGCGGCTGCTGCTGCTGATAGGCATATTTGAAATTATCCCCACTATTTTCACACATTTCCTGTGCGGCGAATTCAAACTGCGACGCGCCGCTGCTGCTGTTGCTATTGCTATTGCTGTCCGCATTGTTGTTGGGCGCGCTAATATTAGAATTGACATCGGTCACCGTTGTTGGCAGATAATCCAAGACATATCTGGGCGTATCCTGCGCGTGTATGAAGTGCGCTTGCTGTTGTTGTGATTGCTGATGTTGTTGTGATTGCTGTTGCTCGTTCGTCAGCTGTAAATGCGGTTTCTTAGTCTCGGTCATAAGTTCGCGATCCGCGCTCTCGAATTCACCTCTATTCCGCTTGTTCACACCCACCAGCTGCGCGGTCATGCCGTTGCACGCGCCATTTTGCAGATTATAATTATTATTTAATTCTTTACCCATATTTGTTGTTGTTGTTGTTGCGCTAGCGGCGTTCCCCTCCGCGCTATGACCAAAAGTCAGTGGCGTTGTGTTTGCGCTGCAGTTGTTGAGCATTTCCGAGCTTTGCATATGATAGTCGGTGGGGTCCACCTCAGCGCTGTTGCCGCCATAAGCGAAATCCGTTGGCTCCACTATGTGGCGTTGTGTGTGCATCGGTGGCGCTTGTGTGGGAGCCAAGCGCGACGCCTGCGCTCCATTCGTGCTGTGATAAAACGAACCGCTGAGCGTGTGTTGTTGTTGTTGGTGTTGGTGTGCGACAATATCCTGTTGCATTTGCATGTTGTGCAGATATTCGTAGGCTTGTGGCTCCATTTTGATCAATTTAATCACATTATCCTGCATGTCCATTGCATGCGGCATCGGTTTGTAGCTGATGTCCAGCAAAACTTTCGGCGAACTCGGACGAATTGACATTTTCTTTAGTGAGTTCTACCAGCACTTCACCGCAAATTTAAATGTAAAAATGCTTTCAAAATTAAGTTTATTACCAAAAAATTCACCAATTTTTATTTAATTTATATTAACACAAACTTTTTTATATTTTTTCACACACAGGCACACACATATATAATATTTAGGAAAAATTGTCAAATTTCCACCATCTTTTGCGAAAACAAATCAGATCACATCCTAACCTGCACAGGAACGTAACGCAACTAATGCCGCTATGCCGAAAGCCAACTCAAAATAGCATTGATCGGCTGCAGCCACTCCTATAGTTGTTGTTGTCGCGCAAATATCGTTTGATTGAGAGTTTCATGAAAGAGACAACGCTATAGTGTGCAGACAGTAGTGACGTCATCAAACGCATACTGCTACATTATATTATACGCTGCAAGCATTGTAAGCACCAATCAACGATGAGCGCAGATCGATACGCACACACGCGCTCATAAATATATGACCGTACGCATGTATGTACTATGTACATAGACGCGTATACTATATTCATATATTCATACATATATGTAAGTATGGCATATACAGATATTTGCAAGAGCAATCAATAAGTTTATGTGTATATATAAATGAGTTGTTCTTTAACTTTCTCCAATTAATTAGGGAGAGCTAAAATAAAAATTTGCATCTCAGCATGCATACCCAGCGGGTAAATGCACTGGTACAGATTAGAATCGGCTCTAGAGCACAAAGTTTGTAACACCTAGAAGAAAACGTCGGAAACACTATAAAGTGTATATATATATGATCTATGGATGCGAGCTGAGTCGATTTAGCCATGTCCGTCTGTCTGTATAGTCGCGAACTAGTTCCTCAGTTTTTGAGAAATTAGTCGGAATTTTAGCACACATCTTTTTCTTCCCAAGAAACTGCTCATTTGTCGGCACCGCCGATATTGGCCATACAAAGTGAACGATCGAAATCAAATGTTTGTATGGAAAACGTTTCTATTTGGCAAATTATCTTCACGAATAATTTCCAAATAAATTGTTCAGATCGTAGCACTGAGTTATTATAAAGAGATTTTAGTGAAGAGCTCCAAGTATTCGAAGTCAATCGAACAGTATTAATTGTTGAAATTATGAGAGAAAGATCCCAAACCGGTTGGTATTCAGCCTAAAAGATACAATTACAAATATTATTGTTAAGGGTTGCCACTTACTTACAAAGTTAAATGCATTAAAATTGTTTAAACTACACTTTGGGTGTCAAAGTATTCTGTTATAAATATATATTTTTGATAAGGGTTGCCATCCATTAACAAACATTCAATAAAATGTTTTCGATAAACTATTACTACACTATTATCAAACTAATTTGCTTTAAAAAGATTATACATATAATTATTTCTGACAAGAGCTGCCACCTATGTATATACAATTTTCTATTCAAAATTAATATCGACTAAATTTTAAATAATACCATATGGATATCAAAACAAATTGGAATAAGTAGAAATTATTTTGAAAAAATGCTTGGGAAGGGTTGCCAGCTGCATATTTACAAATTATATACAATAAATTGTTAAGATAAACGTAATACTACGCTGTGGGTTTCAAACTAAACCAGTTTAGAAATTATGCAGTTAAAAATGTTTTTAATAAGTGTTGCCACCTATTTAAAGTTTTCTATTTATAATTTTTATCCATTAAATTTTGAAGGCTAAAATACTGACATCAAAATAAACAGAAATAAAAAGAACTTATTTTAAAATAGTTTAGGATGAAGCGTTGCCACCTTTTGTAAAAAAAATTTAACACATAAGGAGAAAACAAAAATTGTTTTTAGCGCTAAACTTTTTAAAATTATTAAGATATATAGTGCTTGTGAAGATAAACCGATTCGGAGAACATACAACAATATTGTTCTAAGTTCTGTGGTTTCAGTCACAGTCTCGTTGAGTTTTATATATTTTGTTTTTGTTGTATTATCAGTTCATAGTGGATATTTAAATAAGATTTAATTCTACACAATATATTGTTCAAATTCTAGCTAATCATATTTTCTTTTCCGCCACTGTAAGCATATGGGCAGAGAACGTATTTTACGTTCTCTGATATGGGTACACACAAGCCAACGCATACAGGTGTGTGTACGAACTAGATGTTTGGTTGCAATGGAAATACCAGAAGTTTGGGAGACACTGTGTTCCTGGATGCAAGCAAATATTTAAAAACCGTTGATTCAAGAAGGTATTCGCAGATAATGTAAAATACAATAAATATACGTTCTCTGGTATTCGTGTGTATATGCAAACAAACTATAGGCAGAGAACGTATATCATACTATATATATATATAGGTATACGCAAAGTATATAAATATAAACACACAAAATAAAAGAATACAAATTTACACCAGATAGCTTACCAAGCAGTTCTCCTTGAATATATTTCTGGTTATCGGGATAAAAAAAATACCTAAATTATTGACTGAAGAGCACTTTTTCGTATATACAAACATATGTATGTATGTAAATACAGACGCATATATGCACAGGCAAGCTCGTTCTTCCTTTCGCACCCTGTAGGAAAATTTACAGTTTCTTTTCTATCAACAAATAAATATTTATGTTTTTCAATTCAAATAATGTATAAATTAATGAAAAAAATATCAATATTTTATTTATTGCATACAAAATACATTTTTGATTAAAAAAAATTGTTGACAAATATCAAAACTAAATTTAATATACACATATAATTTAAGGGTTCAAAAAATTTTAAATTCAAGTCTACACTAAATAATCATATTCTATAAAGAGTTAATATGCATATGTATTACATATTTTACTTATTTGAAAACTAATACCAGTTTCAAAACCATGGCAAATAAACAAACAGTGAACATATAAAAAATATATATTTAAGTAAAAAAAATTATTTTTTTCATAAATCCACATAAACTGTTTTGGAATAAAATATTTTAATAATAAATGAATTTACATTAAAAAATAATTTTAAATTTTAAGATGATACAAATTTATTTTAAAAAAATTTTAATCTTGAAAATATGTAATTATTTTCAAAAAAATTTTTATTTTTAAATTTTAACATTATACATTTTCATAATAAAAATTACTATAAAACAGTTTATCATAAATAATATTATTTTAATTATTATTTAAGTTTTATGTATATGGTACATAATTACGGCAAATTTAACAAAATATTTAATATATTAATATATTAAATATTTAATATATTAAATATTTAACTTAAAAAATTTTATTTTATTTAATATTTCCTTATACAAATACACAAGTATTTGAATAATAAATTCATTTATATTGAAAAATAATTTTAAATTTTCAAATGATGCAATTTTATTAAAGTAAGCTTTAAATTTCAAATAATAAAATAATATAAACATATATTTATAAATATAAATCTAAATAAAAAATTTTGGATAAGTTGAAAACTTTTTTATGGCGAATCAAAAAAAAAAACAAAATATATTCTTATTTTGTATTAGGAAAGAATTTTTCATTTTAAAATTGATTAACTAAAAAAAATTTAAATATATAAATAAGAAACAATTTTTTATTTGTTTTTATTTTTAAACATAATTTGTAGTAGTTTTTAAAAATTATTATTTTAAATTTTTGGATTTTAAAGTTTGTCTCTTATTTTTCTTACTTAAGTATTTTGTAAAAAAAATAATAATTAACTAAATTAAAATATTTAAGGTAAAAATTTTTATTTACAAATATTTGAATTTCAAGAACATTAAACAGAATATTTATGAGTTAAAAAAGAATAATTCTTAAATTTGCCTCTAAATTTTGTTTTTTTTTTAATTAACCCTTTGAATAATAAAGTATTTCATATTAGAGAAGAATTTTTAATTTAAAAATTGCGTATCTTTTAAAAAATTAGAGATTATATATAAGCGAAAAGTTTTAATTTATTTGTAAAATATGTAATTTTATTTTTAAACATAATTTGTAGTAGTTTTTAAAAATCAATATTATATATTTTTAGATAAGCAATATTTCTAAATTCTTGTTAAAAATTATATAAAACTTGTTTTTTTTTGTTATTTTAATTTTACTTACAAAAATAACAATGAACAGAAAAATTCTCTACACCACAAAAGAATTTTCTACAGGGAAGACACGCGGCATTGCTCAATCCAATAAATACAGCTCGGATCGGTTCGGTATCCACACACTTTGTTATTGTTGACAAAAGCCAGTACTCACATCCTACATTTACGTATATACACACAAACATTCATATCCATATTTATATTGCAAATAAGTATTCACAGAGAACACACAACATTTTTTCTTTGACGCTCTCTGGTATTCACGAGTCTTTCTCACTCTCGCATTCGTATCAACACTATCCGTTGGTAATTGCGTTTATCGCGTCGACTGCGAGTTCGCTGACATCGAAAATAACGCACTGCCCGCAGTATTGTCGCGCACTGCAACGAAGATGGAGGATTTTATAGACGAAATACGCAAAAGAGAATTTTTATGGGATAAGAAAAAAATACCATTGGGTAAGAAGCAGCAAAAAATAACCGATAAGCTTTGGCAAGAAGTAGCGGACGCTTGTAAAATATCAAGTGAGTATACAGATAAATGCCTAAAAAAAATATATAGTTGACATTTTGTATATTCTTAAGCATCCATATGTATATACCAAAATAAATATAGCGATGCCAGAAAATTTCATAGGAAGAACATGTCTTTGGTCTACACATGTTGTATATACGTACATATTTAAGTGTTTGCAAAAAGCAACACTGCGAGTAAAAACGATGCGATGGGTACAAAAAAAAAACGCGTAGATTTCACGCTATACACACATATCTACATTTCGACAAACATTGTTATCGATTATTTCGTAGATTGCGAAAGGAGTTTGAGCGAATTCCGTAGATTTTTAAGCGCGAGTGGGCGTGATACCGTTAACGGTGGAACTTTTCGAATGCGTTAATGAGTACCGCTAGTACCTCTAAACTTTTATATATTCTGCAAAAATAATGTGAATACCGTTATTCTACTATTGAAAAGTTTTGTAGCACATAAATCTAGCATTTCTAAACACCTCTTTTCTACTTTGCACTTCTTTCAGAGAACACAGCCAAAATTAAGTGGCGAAGCTTACGCGATCAATTCTTAAAGGAATTAAAAAAGGTGCCAGTCTATACTAGCGGCGATAATTATTACATTGATGAGCGCGAAAAACCGAAATGGACACATTTTAACAATTTAATCTTCTTGCTAAACACACACACCCCACGCAAACAAGTAATCGATATTAAACCAGAATCGATAATTGATATACGCTCCTCCGATTCGGTTAATAGCTGGGATGATAGCAAAAGTCAAATCGAAGATGTTTCACCCACCCTGGAGACGTCTGAAACTGCCGACACATACAATCATTTTCAAAGCATTCGTAAAGTTTACACGCTGGACGAGGAACATGAAAGTGCAAACTCGTGTGTAACCGAATGCAAACATGAGCGCGCTGAAGAGAATGCGTGCGATGAGGGTAGATTAGAAATTGAATATGATCTACCACCTTTTGTTGCGGTCGCGCCGCAAATGGTGGATCCGAAATATGCGAATAATAAGCGTGGCTACACACACAGCGCCGAAGACTACGACGACGAGTCAGCGGCTACACAACTGCGCGACGAACTCTACAACTGTCCAAGCAAGAAAGCGCCAACTGAGCTGGGCAAATCAGTTGAAACGCGAGTCGCAGCCGAGTCGAATGAGGATAATGAAAATTTGCTGTTCTTTCGCTCACTCTTGCCGTATATGAATCGCTTGGACATAGTGCAGCAATTGCGGGTGCGTACGCGGTTTCAGGAAATTTTAATGGAGGAATTGGGCACTAGACACTAGTAATAAATACTGGAGATTTTAAAGATATTACACACTAATGTAACATATATTTAAACTGTACATAATATACAATTTTTAAAGAAGCCATATGACACTTTATGATTTATGAATAAAAAGCTGATACCAAATTTCAAGATTAATCCCCTTAGATATTATAGCTACTTAGATGCAATTAAAAACTCATGGCTTAAAAAATATATTTCCTTAGGCTCCCTACGAGTGCAAGCGCTAGTATCGCAGGTGAAGCTAATTGTATGCTCGTAGAAAGTTGCTAACAAAATTTCAACCGAATTGAACTAGTGGCAACGATCGCGTTTGGAAGTCGATTTTTAGAAAAATTCAAAAAGATAACTACCGGTCGGTGATTCAATCAGTGTTTTGTGTTTTTTTGTTTAGGGTCAGTAAATTTTCAGCTTATAATTTTGAAGTCGCCGATCGAAGATAGCTGAAACAGTAGACATAACAAGAGAGGCGTGTGCATAGTCCATTAACCTGAACCTCGCAGCAGTGTTTGACGCACTTTAAGCACAATCGGACGGAGTTTTGGTGTCATTTTGTGACGGTCGTTGAAACCTGGATAACTGGTGCACAACAGTTACCAAAAAATGGTGAGGAAAATCTTATCGGCCACAAAGGCCGTTTTTTAGGTCGACTAATCTACAACGACTATGCAAAGACGATGAAAAAACAGTTTATATTTACTGTTAAGGCAGCTGGAGCATTGCCGCCTCCGACAGAAAACATATTTTGGATTTGTTAAGCCAGTTGGAATATAGCAAGGACAAGACTAAGTTTCGGACTAAGCTGTTCCTTGAAGTAAACGATGTTTTTTTTTAGACATGTGGTTTTCAAGATATAATTTAATGTTATGGCCAAAAATTTAGCTGCCGGCCGCCATTTATACATTCCAGTCGAGAGGCCCAATTTTCGACCACTATTTGCAACAATTCTCTTCCAAGGCATCAATCATATCGGACTTATCTGCGTAGCCAACCGAATTCAAATAGCCCAACAGAAAATAGTTCAACGGTGTCAAATCGCACGATGTGGGAGGCCACGTCACAGGCCCACGATGCGAGATAATGCGCTCACCAAAGGTTTCCTATAATATATTGATTGTTTCGTTGGATATACGGCATGTAGCGCCGTTTTGTTGGACCAAGGGTCGCCCACATCAACATCCTCCAATTTAGGTACGAAAAAGTCATTAATCATAGTTCTATAGCATTCCCAATTGTAACAAAAAAGACGGCTTCATTTGTGAAGAAATATGAACCAATGATACCCTTTGCCAATACATCATACTAAACAGTGACTTTTTGAGAATGTAACGGCGTATCAACAATGGCTTGAGCATAATCATCACTCGCCAAATCATTTGGGTCTTCTTTAATACTCGTGGATCAGAGTATTAAAGCAGCACGATTTGTAAACGTTGTGCCGGAGTAAGTCTGTTCTATGAACTAATAGCTAACAAAAGGACCAACTCCGTAAAAAATATTGCCTCATAGAAAACCACACCTCCAAAAAATATACGTTAGAATACTAATGCCATTCCGAAGATCTTGGATTTATCAGACAGTCCTCTTTATTGCATGTAAGTATAGAAATCTGAACGCAAACTACACAGCATTACCGACGTAAACTTCTTACGAGCGCTTAGCCACATGACGACTACTTTGTATGCCGTGCAATAATCATAAATGCAACGCTGTCTACCAAATTTTACAGTAATGCCGAGACGCATATAAAGATGCACGCGAGCGCCTGTATGCTTAACCCCTGGCTGAATATGTATTCGGTTTGCAGTTGTTTTTGCGAAGATGAGCAGTTGTTGGTATTTTTCAAAGTCACAGCTGCTGCGTAGAATACAAATGCAATGCCGTCAAAAAAGCAACAACTTATAAGTATACTAAAAATATGCCATTACTATGCAGACTGAGTGCACAAGTCTTACGGAAGAGTGTAGCTGAGCGAGCGTTGGTTAACGTTTGTAGAAAAAATGCGGCGCCACTAAAACGGTTAACATGCGATGAGTAGTTTGCAGTCTGTTAAATCAGCTGCTTGTTTATTTTATTTTTTAACAGTGACATTAGTTTGCAGCGAGCGGCTGAGCATGTGAGCGCTGAGTGTTATTTTTTTGATTTGTGTTAACGGCAGAGAGTGAGCGCTAAGAGCGTCCATAGAGTGTGCTGTTATTAACATTTTCTCGTATGCATTAGTCACTGTTAAGAAGAGAGCGCATAAAAACGATTGTTTGTGGTTGAGGGTTGAAAAGTGCATGTACACCCCAATACAGCTGTCGCTGCTGTCGACAGGATATTCGGCCAGCCAGGATGTTTTGCCAGCAGCGGCAGGTCGTGCGGTCGTCAACAGTTCAACTTCAGTTTGCTGTGTCACTGCAACATTTAGTCAGTTTAACGCTTTGTGACGCCGTGTGCGGTTGTAAAATTTTCGTGTCCGTTAGTTAGTTCACTTTTAACACGGCAACGTGCGGTTGATTTTAAAACTTAGAAAATAAATTTTGAATTTTTTGGCAAAGGTGAAATATATTAGTGTGTTATGTTTAATATAGAAAAATATTTTTTTTTGTTGTAAATTTATTGTTGTTATGCTATTCTCAAACAAATTCTCGAAAATGACGTCATACTTTGCATTCACAACCAATTTGTGCCAATTTGTTGTTAACATTGAATTGTTAAATGAAGCGAATTTGTAGGAGAGTGTCTTTGAAAATCATATTTGTAATAAGAATTTGTGAAAATTGCTGGCAATATGCGAATTGGCAACTGCAACCACAACAAAGGTGACAACAAAACAACTGCAATAGCAAAAACAAAATGTGTGGCAAAAATTTAGCAGTTTTGTTGTGTGGCAAGCCACGCAAAAGTGAAAAACAAAGCGATATTTGTATGTGTTTGTGGAAGTGTGTGTGTGTGGCTAAGAACGTGGTGTTGGCACTGTGCAATATTTTACACCTTTTCTAGGTTAAAAAACCCAACTAATGAGTAAAAAGGAAAACAGAAAATATATGTAATATTGTATATTAAAATATAAAAATAAGACAATAATAATAATTTTAAAAGTCAAACCAAAATAAAAATAATATTAAAAGTGATGTAAAAATATAAATTAAAATACAATAGATAAAATACCGCATAAAAAAAGTGTTATTAATTATTTTATTGGTTAAAATTAAAAAAAAATATAATTTCCACATATAATATTAAAAAAAAAAAACAATTTTAATATATTGAAAAAACAGAAAACATTTATTTGGTTTATTATAAAAAAATTTTTGTTTAATTGTGATTTAAAAACTATGTTAACAATAAAATAAAGTAAAATTAAATAAGTAAAACATACTAGTTTAGTAAAAATCAACACAAAATATTACCTAAAAAACACGTATCTTAAAAAAAAAAATTAAAAACACATTTTTTTTCAATATGTCCGAAAAAAACTAGTAACCCATTTATCTAGTTTATAAGAAAAAAAATTTTGTTTTAAATATAAAACAATCAAAAATATATAAAAAGATAACTACAATTTAAAAACTATTGTAAAACATAATAGTTTCGTAAAAATTAAAAAACAAATTCCTTCAAAAATGTTTAATTAGTGGGATAAAAACTAGAAACCCATTTATTATATTAATTATAAAAATCTTTTTTTTTTTAATAATGAAACAAACAAGAAAATTATATGAAAGGATAACAATAGTTAAAAACTATGTTAAAAATTATATAAGGAAATTATAAAAACCAAAAAATTAAAACAAATTTGTAAAAAAGTGCATAATTTTTTACAAAAAAATATTTATAAAAACAGTTTACAATTTCTAAACAAAAAAACTCTGATATTAAAAAAAACTTAAGTATACTAAAATAACGATAATATTATATAATACAATTATAAAAACTACATAAAACACAGTTTTGTCAAAATGTTGAAAAGTGCATTATGTTTTTATAAAAAAAAATATGTATAGCAATCGTTTTACATTATCAAAAAAAAGACAAAAAAACAATATGTACAGAAATCGTTCAAAATTAAAACAAAAAAATAAAAAATCTGTAGTTAAAAAAAATTAAAAATCATATTAAAAATTAAATAATATAAATTAAAATAAAATAAGTTAAATAAAATGAAATTATAAAAAATATAATAAATAAAATATTCAAAAAAAAATTTAGAGTAAAAAAAACAAAATAAAACATAAAAGAGATACAAAAAAACTCAAAGAAATATTTAAAAAAAAAAATAAAAATGATTATAAATAAATTATTAAATTATATCCGTTTAAAAAAAAAGAAAGTCGTTTCCAATGGAGTATATTTCTGTAATAAAAACTTCGATTGTTCAAGACCTGTTCTTCGAAGACTCTTTATCATATCGAGTGTGTTTTATCGTTTATTTGAATCACCTGAAAGTAACTCAAAATCCATCGCTGAGTTACTGTTTTTTAACAATTTGAACCCGAATTTATCAAAGTTATCTTAATTTGCAAATTATCCGCGAAACAGAAAGAGCTTGGATCTACTATTTTGACCATGTAATTATGGTATTCGAAGCTTCAGGCCATCCCTTTTCTATAAAATACAGAAGCAAGCTGATTCGTTTTAGCCATGGCCATCTGTCTCTATATACGAGAACTAGTTTCTCAGTTTTTGAGATAACGATCTGAAATTTTATACGCGTTATTCTCTGCTGCCATAAACCTGCTTATTTTTCGGAAATCAAAATCAAGATAAAGATCTTTTTACACCATTTACTGCTATAAAGATTCAACTGTGAAGGGTATCTTAGCTTCGATGCAGTCGAAGGTAACCTTTGTTCTTGTTTACATAAATTTTTCAACCCAGCCTCAATTTCAAGTACATTTTTTGTTGGTTGTAACTCAATATCGTGGCAAGAAATGCGCAACAGGATGGCATTTAACATTGGTTTTTAACACAAAAATTATATTTCAATTTTCTGGAGCAATTTTCGTCAACCGCAAACCACTGCAGCACGTACCGCGCGATTCTTCTTTTACATATACTTGTACATATGTATGTGTATATGCATTTGTATATTGAATCGTTAGCAATTTAATTTTATTTTCCTCTTTCTCTAAATATATACACATATGTATATATGTATGTACCTATTTCTTCTTGTCTGCATTCATTAGACCAGCCATAGCCGCGACACATCTGCTGCTGGCACTCTCCTCCTGCCCTTACGCCACAAACACAACATCAACGATTGGCGAACAACAGCGATTGATTCATTCACCACTTTTTGTATGTGTCTGTACATATGTAGTTGTGTGTAGCCCAGAGTGCGCTCTGCTTTACTTTACCTACCGCGCCACCGCGTCAACTCTTGGACCAAGCGTGTGCCCATGCTCATGCATTTTAAGCATTTCAACAACTGTTAAGGCGCTTTGACACGCCAGCAAGCAACTACAAGCGATGTGAGGACAAACACATGAAATTATGTTCATGTGGGTATGTGTGTTGTGGGGAAGAAGCTAAAAGACGCACACAGCCATACGTATGAGCGCAAAGTAAGCGCCACAGTGACTCGGCGCGTATATTTTGTCGTCACCATTCACTTAATAAATCGAATTTCCATTTGGTAACTATAACAACAGTAACAACAAAACAACGTTAAATATGAAAAATGAAATATATATATATAATTGTATGTATGTGCATGTGTGTGTGTAGAAACATGTGCTCAAGTGAATATGTCTGTCTATTAGTTTTTATTGTTGTTGTCAGTGATTATGTGCGCCTATTGCTGTTGTGCGGTGTCTATTAATGTTGTTGTTGTGTTTTCCTGCATTATTCTCTATCACATCTGACAATGTTTGCAACTCGCTTTTTGTTTATTTTATCACTTCGCCGGTGATAGCGGTACTTTGACGTGTAAAACTTTTAAGCAATGAAGGAAGAAAAAGTTAAAAGAGATATAGTGGGAATATAATGAAATTATTGTTTTTGTATTTTAGCAAAACAGAAATTTTGCATAACAAAGGAAAACACTGTAAAAGACATAAATAAAGAAAATTATTAAAATAAAAATATAAATCAAAAAAATAAATAAATCAACAGGCAGCAACAAATACAAAGAATGTCTGCAGTCAGCAGTCGCAATCAGAAAATGGAACAACAGGTGAGTGTTGATGTGGAAAAAAAATATGAAATCACAATTTTATGCAATGTGGCAACACTGTTATAGCTAAAAATATTTTTATAACTTATTTTGATATATTATATTTTTCTGCTTAAATAACAATAGTGATTATAAAAGAGAAATTCTATGTTGTAAATAAAAACCCGAAAAATACTGTTAGTTTTTTTTATAAAATTTACAAAATTTGGAAATTTAAACTCTGAAAAAGCCTCCATAATTATTTTACAGGCTTCGGTAAAAAAAAAACGCAAATCAACAAAACAAAAAAAGACAAGTTTTTAATTTCCTCATTTCAGAGTTGTCTTGGAGTTGCCAGACTGTAGTAAATACGTTGTGTAATATTAACAACATATTAGCAACAGTTAATAGATATTATTACATATAGAACACAAAAAAAAAATAAAAAAACTATACAATTCTAATTTTTATGCAATATGGCAACGCCATCATAACTTAAAATATGTTTATAACTTATTCTCATTAATTTAAAAATACAAGAAAAAAATACATTTGAAGCATTCACAATAATAAAACTGATCTAAATGGTAGCACTGACGATGCGGCTATACCACAATCGTGGTATTCGCATACTCTCTTGCACGAATTTACATATAATTTTTTTGAAAGAGAGCAGAAGCGAGCAGAGACGCCGTCACCGATTTCATAATTCAACAATTGAGCAACAATTAAAAAAAATATATATACTTTTAAATTTCGCAAATTCGACAGTCGAAAAATGCATAAAATATTATAATAAGTCGATCCTGACCTGATCGGCGAAAGACCCACACGGACCGGTAAATCTTGTTATATTGTGAAAAAAAGAGAGCGATTACCACGACGAGGTAGTTTTGAACTTGATTATATGCTACAACCACACACTTCGCTCATTCTCAGTTAATAAAGACGGTCTCTTTTGGGCTGGTGGAATTTCTCTAAAAGAAAATATACTAAAATTCTAGTAAATAGTAAATAAAACATTTTTTTTCATTATCTTAAAGTGAATTTTAAACCTGAAAGTCTCTTCTTATAAAAACCACTTCAGGTTTTTAAAACTGCAGTTTAGAGTATAATATAAGTGTTTTGTTGAGGGAACGGGTACAGGTTTGGTCCGAGCGTGGTGCAAAGCGGTCGTAGTGTCGACTTATTGAAAATTTTAAATTCGTTTTGAGAATATTAAAAAATATAGAATGATAGATTTGGAAATATCTTTACAAAAAATAATTATTAATTTAAAACACCTCTAATTTCTTCCAAAATTATTATGCGAAACTCTTAAAAATCTACTAAATTAAACTTAATTTTCCTAAACCTCAAATTTGAAAATTGTATTCTTGTTTATTGTACGCTGGAACCGCCGATATCGGACCACTATAGCATAGCGCTGCCATACAAACTGACCGATCCAAAATTAAGTTTTTATATGGAAACTTTGTGAAGGGTATTCTAGCTTCGGTGCAACCGAAGTTAACGTTTTTGCTTATTTATATTTGTTCTTTGGTTTTTCTAATTGCTCAAAAACATTGAAAGGAACATTTAAAATCAATTTATATATATAAATTTGTCTACCTCTAGTAAATAACTGCAAACACACTAAGCTTGTATTGGGAAATTCGAACAAAACAATTTATTTGATTACTTGACAACCGAAGGCGGTAGGCAATTAGAATTTTCAATGAAAAGATACTAGGGAAAACATATTTACTGTCGCACTATACGCATGACAATAGGTTTATAAAAATACCTGTAAGAATGTATGTATGTAGGTATAGAAAACTATACTCTTAGGTAAAAATTTGCATATAGACTTCTATTTAGAGTATGTGTGAATGAGTGCTGTAGAGATGTCGAGCCAATATCCACAAGTAAAACCTGGAAAATTGCTTTAACGACTAAATAAACATTGGTATTTTGACGAAAACAGTTAGTATGTGGTATGAAGGAGGCTTCTGATACTATTGTGAAAAAATTGTGCTTTAATAACATACATATTCACATATCAATACATAGAAACGCGTTTTTTGTTATTATTTTAGTTTTAAGGAAGTTCTTGTGCGAGTATTTTGCTTTAGAGGCGGTTTCCTAACAGGACACTGCCGAGAAAGAATCACTTGTTTAAGATTATGTTTCGAATTTTTTGGTAGAAATTGACGACTTTTCAAAACTAATGTGCAACTTAAGTGCCACTTATATCTTTAGTTACTGCTTCTTGGCACTTTCCACATTTTTTCGTAACTCTCTTGAAATTATCTATTCGCACAGCTTCATTTCGTAATTTGAAAGCATTATTTCTTATGAGAGTTAGTACTGAGTGCGCTTTGTTTACCTGTCCCCAACAGCTTTTAATTTTATCAGCGTATTTTCTTTGGACAGTACAAAAAACAAATTGAATAGTTTGATACCTCTATTTCAAATTCATATTAAAATTAAATGAGTATCTTCATTTTAACTCTGATTATTTCTCTACATAGAGTGAAAGCTTCGTGTTGACCTTTCGTCATACACATTTGTTCACCTGTTACTTAAGTAGCTTCCCTATAAGGAGCATAAAAGAGTACTGATGATCAGATTATGAGAGAAGACTGCAAGGAAGCGATGGTCTCTACAAGAACTAACCGATGCCAAATTTAATTGGGACGTCGCAAAGACAACAGCTCTCAATCGTGTGAGATAGCGCAACCTTGTTGAGGCTCTATACTCCAGAGATGATTAATATTTATGGAGGAAAGAAATTCCTAATAAATTTCGTTAATGGCAGGCGTCGAACCGAAAACTACCTAAGCGGTAGTCGTTAACTTTCCTACATACTCTCGCTTAACGGTAAATCGTATTGCTTTCCACTGCGAAGTGGGAGTTTTTCAGTAAGCACACAAATACCCTGAAAAGTTAACTTCCTGGGATTAAATATGAAAATGGAACTAAGTCAATGGTAAATAGTACGAGTAACAATTCGTAAGCTGAGAAGTCAGGATAATAATGAAATACAGTGGTATGAGTAACCGACGCACATTTATGAACATATAAATCATGGATGGAGTGCTATATACATACATATACGATACATATGTGGAAAGAGTAAATGCAAACAAAAAAGCCAATGGAAAACCACAAAAGTATAAATAAATAGAAACCACCAGAATAAACCGGAACGGACAAATAAAGCATGCTAAAATTAAACCAAAAAAACAAAAACAAAATGAAATAATAATGTTAAATAAGGTATAGTGAAGAACATAGAAGAAAATCTATTTTATTTGTAATGAAAGTAGATACAACCAATGAGTAGAAGAAGCTTAAAAGGTGTCAGGAAGATTAAACACATAATCGTTAAGTATTTTGTATTAATGGGAGACACACAAACTGCAAAGGTATTAAAGAAATGTCGACTCTAATGATAACCACAAATGTCCTAAAATTGTTCACGCTGTCCCCAACTGGTCATTTGTCTTTATGAATTAAAAGCTTTCACCGAAACTTTTTTATACCAGAAAAGCTGAGTGGAAAGGTCGCCTTAAAAGTTAGTAACAGCAATTCCTCGTCATTTCCTGTTACTTCCACTGGAGCAGGGGTCCTCAAGGTAACAACAATTACTCATACCTAAATACGATCTATTGTTGGAACTTCCTTTTGAATGAGTGACCCCATGCTGATACCACAACTAATTGGTTGGAACCTCAAGCGGAGCACTCAAAAATTTTTTCTTCCAAAGGCTTGGAAAAATTGCAGCGTTTGGATATTAAAGGATCTAAGCCAAAAAGGGCACAATTTATAAGTTGGTACCTCAAGCGGGGGCACTCCAAAAGTCACTCTCCCACATGACTGAAGAAATTGGATCTGAGTCAAAAATTACCGTAGGTTTATTAAATAGAAAAAAGAGAGAGAATAAATTTAACCGGAGTCGATGTGTTAGACATTGTTGATCAGTTATTTAATTTTTTTAACTCTCTCAACAGCTTTTCTAGAGACCAAAAAGTCAAAACATTATAAGAAAGCACCGAACAGAATTTTTATACTCTCGCAACATGTTGCTACAGAGAGTATAATAGTTTTGTTCACCTAACAGTTGTTTGTATCGAGATAGTTATGGAGTTTTATTATATATATATAAATGGATAAGGGTGACTGTCTGCCCGTTCGTGTAAACGATAACTTCAGTAAAAATTAGGATAGCCAAGGAAACTTGCTACATACGTTAAGGTCTTGGGCTTAATCGGACCACTGCCACACACAGATAAACTCAATGATTTCCAATTTCAATTTTATAACAAACGTTCTCTGCTTTATTGTGTATTGAGCAGCAGTTGTTACATATGTACATATTTTTGTGGCTTTGTTTTATTTTTGTTGTAGCTATTAACCTTTGTCACTAAGGAGTCAACACAATCATGTTGGCCTTAATACGCTTGTGCGTTGCAGTCGCCACCTTCTCCGGCTAGCCAAAGACAATTTTCTATTTTGCTCTTGAGCTCCATTGTTAGAGGAAATTACGCTCATACGGAAATATGTAGATACATGTATGTGGTGTATGTATGTGTAATATTGCCACGTGCGTAAATTGGTTAGTTAATAATGTACTGATACTAATGAACCGGTAGGTGGTTGGTAAAATAAGTTTGGTTAGATTAGTATATTTTATTTTTGAAACCTAATCTCATTTTCAGTAAGAGTAATTGAAGTACAGCACACTATTTCTATGCATTACCCGAACGATCAGCATGACGAGCTGTGTCGATTTTGCCATGTCCATCAGTCTGTCTGTATATACGCGATACTAGATGTTCAGCTTTCGAGATTTCCATCTGAAACTTTGCACTTGCCATTTTCTCTCCGAGAAGCTGCTAATTTGTCAGAACAGCCGATATCGCACCACTATAGCAAATAGCTTTCATACAAACTGAAGAAGCAAACTCAAAAAAGTTCTTGTATGGAAAACTTTTTTACTTGGCAAGATATGTTCACGACTTTTATTATCACAGACA